TTCAGCACGCAGATATATATGATCATAGAAATATGGTTCTAGAGTAGCAGCCTAAAATATAGCTTAGAATGAGATGTCAATCATTTGACTCCTTGCCCAGTTTACCCATTCACCACCTTCAAGTGTATTATCTTATTTCGGAATACCTATAAGATTCAAATTGAAAATGTCAAGTTATGTGGGTACATAAACTATTGGGGGCTGTCTGGAATGAGGAATAGGGTGGGAATAGATCAGGGTAACACGTCCCTTTGTTTGGAACAAGGTCTGTGAAACTGAAAATAACATTTTCCTAATCTTTATGTATACCCATGAATGAGGGGATTTCATACCTTTCCAAAAGAGAGTCTTCTTGATGCACCCCCCCCCCCCCCCCCCCCCCCTCTCTCCCTCCTCTATTTAACACTTAATCTCTCCTCTTTTTAATACATTACTTTATTTGTTGATGTATCACTTATTTTATTTTATAAAATTAAAATAAGTTGCATTAAAAAAAATTGATAACTTAATTATACGATTGAAATAAATTAATTTATTAAAATCTATACTTAATTTTTATATAAGGTGACGTAATAAGTGGATGCACTATTTTAATAAAAAAAACTGATGCAATCAATTAGGAAAATATAGATTCATAAATTAATAATATATTTAATCAATTAATTACCATTATTATTGATTTATTAGATTTTTAAGAAAAGTTATACAGATTCATTTTTAATCGTTATAATTAATTATTTATTGGTTATTATATTATTAATTAACTATTAGATATTATTTTCTAAAAAAAAAAAAATTATAATAAACCTGAACATTATTTATCCTTGTGAAAATTTGACAGCATTCCCATATAGAACCAATCATTTCCCAAGCTACCTTCTTTTCAAGGCCTTATTCTCAAGCATAGGTTACCTATCAGTATCCAAAAAAAACCTTAAACCATATGGTCTCTACAAGATTTATTTCATGTTCACAACTAGTTTAAAGTATTTTAATTTTTTTTTTTTTGAGGGTTCTAAAAAAATTTAAATTACAATATTTTATTATTGTAAAATCGTTTTTTATAAGCAATAGTAATGTGTGAATTAGAAGGAAGGTATATTCCATAATAAAATACACAACATACAAGAAATCATAAGTCAGAAAGCACAAAGGATGGATAAATCAGAATTTAGAAGTTTTGATGCAATAAATTCCTTTCTTTGAAATCTTTTTGGTGGAGAAATTTATATTTTCCTATGAAAAAAGAAAGAAGGTTAACCTTCTAACTCAAAAAGAGACCGAGTAGAGAAAGACTTGGTTGAAAAACCAGACTTTGAAGAAATGAGACATCCAGAATTTCTCCACAAACCTAATAGGACAACAGACATTGACAATAGTATGATAATAGTATGATAATGTCCATTTTGAGCATAAGCTCTTATAGCTTTGTTTTTTGGTTTTCAAAAGGCCTCGTACCAATAGAGATAATGTCCCTTACTTATATGCCCATGATCTCCCTCTTAATTAGCCAGGTTGAACTCCAACAATCCTCAACAAAACCAACTATGATAACCATTTTCCTAGGGTTAAAAAACATGTCTACAAGAATTTTGCTTTTCTGAAAAAGGAAAAAAGGTACCTGGGAACCAGAACCAATTGTTGGATCGCTTCCTCTCAGGCCATCAACAAGCTCTGTGTATACTTCTTCTTTAGGAGTAGCTGCCGGAGCACCATAATAGGAGAACTCCACAACGTCAACATCGCACCATATACCTCCAGGTCCCTGACCCCAATGATCATTTTTGGGAAAAATAAAGAAGGAAAAGAATGAAAGAAGCAACCAAATATTGGAAAGATATTCAAGCCCAATAAATTTATGGACCTCACAAGAAATATAGACATCAGTAATCATTCTATGATTTCTCAGCACTAAAAATGATTTTCCAAAGGTAGACTAAAATAAAGACAACGAATAACCTCTAACAGAGGTAAAAATAAAAAACTTGATATGTTGAGTTTCCAACCTCAAGTGCAGCAGGTAGACATTGAACATCACTGAGCCACTGCCTGTGAACTTTGCGTGCAACAAAGACAATAATAGCAGGGATATCTGTCAGCATGCCCTTCTGGATTCGGAATCCTATTGCAGTTCCAAGGCTAAAACGACGCAAGATCTTGCTATGAAATGCCCTTATGGTCATTAGCTCAAGCAAAGTAGTAGCTCGCTGCCCAGTGGGCAGCCGGCCTAGAATTTCAGGAAGCACTCCTTTCTGAAGGTTCCCAAAATAGTTTGCTCTATCTTCTGCAGCATCGTTTAAACGGCTGGAAGTGGGCCATGAAAAGTAAGCAGCATTGGTCTCAGACAGCTGACTACCCGGAGCAAAGCATTGACTAGGCGATGGACTTGATGAAGGCATATTAAGATGACTGCAGTAGTTCCTTTCTAAATCCAAGGCAGATTCCTCTGATTGTGTCGATACTGAATGATGAACACTTAAATCCAGTCTTGTCCTGTCCATCTTTCAGCTCTCCAATGACTATGAGAGAAACGTTAAAGTCTCTTAGAAATGAAAATTCATTGTATCAAAGCTCGCTAAAGTTATTTAATAGTCTAAGAACTAAGCCACATGCAAATACCCAAACAAATTAAACCATCCAATTCAACTAAATACGGTCAGGGAAAATGCACAACATTACAGAATTACATTTGAGAACTAAAAATCGTAACATATGGCAGGATTCGAATATGCCAAAAAGAAGAAAATATGAGAAGCCCAAAGTTACAGTGTTCACAATTCTTGCTTCTAATAAAACCGTCGTCTGTGAAGGGTGAGAAACGCAATTGTAATACGCGTGCGATCTTATCAATCAAGTGGAATATTGCTGGAACATTTGAGGTGGGTGAGTTGAAGTCTCACAAACCTATTGCAATTTTCAAGCTTTCATGGCTTGAGGGGTTTCAAGTACAATTGGAGTGGAGTGGAAGATAACACAAAAAAAAAAAAAAAAAAAAAAAAAAAAAAAAAAAAAAAAAAAAAAAAAAAAAAAAAAAAAAAAAAAAAAAAAAAAAAAAAAAA